GGAGGATCTTGTTACTTTAGCATCTAAAAGTCAGTTTGTATCAAATACTGAAAAAAATATTCAATTAAATTCAATTATTTTGACTCAAACGGTCTTTTTAATTTTAACACTCTATGCTTTAATTATCAACTGTTATTTAGAAATTTGAAAGTTAAAAGCTGAAAATATTAAACTTCAAAACAAAATTATAATGCAATTAACTAAGCCTAATTCTGTATATAAGAAACTTCTATCAAACAGTAATGTAAAGTTCTATACAAATCTTGGTTCTTTAGAGTTATTTAATAAATTGCATGACTTTATTAGCCCTTATGTTAAAAAACAATTTAATTCTGTTTCTGTTAAAAGAACTGTCAGTGGACACTAAAAAAAGTAGGACGTGCAAGAAAATTATGTTCACAAGATGAGTTTCTGTTGACTTTAATGAAACTTCGATTAGGATCATTTAACAAAAATCTTGCTAGTCGTTTTTTTTTAATATTTCTATTAGCACATGTTCCAAAATATTTCATTCTTGGATAAGAACATTAGCAGAAGTTTGTAAGCATCAAATATTTGTACCAGGACTTGGCACGTTAAATGCAACAAGCCCTTTATGATTTAAAAAATATAAAAATTTGGAAGCTATTATTGGCTGTTCAGAAATTTTCATACAAATCCTTAGAAATTTGGAATTGTAAAGTGTTACTTAGTCTGAATATAAACACCACAATACTTTAAAATTTTTAATAGGTGTTGCTCCTAATTCTTTTATTGTTTATATCAGAAGGTTATACCAGTCGCATTTCCGACAAAGCTTTAATTATGGATTGTGGTTTTCTTGATTTATTATCTCCTTTTTCTATAGTTATGGTAGACAAAGGGTTTAATTTGCATGATGAATGCACTGCTCGACATTTATTTTTTACTGTACCACCTGGTCAGCGAGGAACATCACAAATGACACCTTTTGAATATAAGAAAACAAGTTCAATTGCTAAAATTAGAATTCTTGTGGAACAAGTTATTGGAAGATTAAAAACATTTTGTCTCATAAGTAATGAACTATATAAAATATATATATATATATATATATATATATATATATATATATATATATATATATATATATATATATATATATATATATATATATATATATATATTTGTTTAATATGTATATAGCGTTTTGTTTGTTTGTAAAATAAAGTAGAATGCAATACTTTTGTTTCACGAATATTATTATATACTACATACTTTGATTTAATTTAATCATTAAGTTCATCTAAATCTTTAATACTGTGTAAAGTTGTTGAAGTTTCTAATCCGTCATCCAGCGAAATAGGATGATATTTTTATTTATTTACAAACCTATTTTTAGAGGCTTAAATTTTTAAAAATATACAAAATCTGTATATTTTTAAATATTTTATTCTTGTTTTAAAATCAAATTTTTAAAAATTGCAAAGTTGTTATTAGATATCTTAATAACTAATTTGTTTATCTTATCATATATTTCCACTTCGCATTGTTTATATCTACTTTTTTTTATGTAAAAACGCACGGAAAAATATTTCTCGCCTTGTAAAATTAATTTCGAATATCGTCTATTACATCGTCTGTATTATCGTCTGTACCCTTATAAAATTAGTAAAAGCATTTTTATTTGGTTAGATAATATTTCATCTCAATTTGCTTTGCATCAAGTTCGGGAAGTCAAGCGAAAAAAATTAGTTTGAATAATCTCTTTGAAATATATACAAAAAAAAAAACTATTTTAATAACGGGGGTTTAAAAGCTTTTTATAACAAACGTAGGTAAAAAATAAATAATTAAATAAAAAGTTTAACATTAAACATTATTTCTTTAATATATTGCAACTGTAAATATTGAAATATTAACTTGAACTAAATTTACTTATTATTTAGAACTACTAAGCAATAAAAATAAAAAGCCCCTAAAATTATGCGATATTGTGTTGCTTTTTTGATAATTGCTGTTGGTAATGTTGTTTAAGTTGGTTATTTTCATTAATATCAAAATAGTCCCAGATTAATCTGTTAGTTGCTTTGTTCAATGTTGCTTTATTTCTTATTTAATTTTTTTCTTATTTTAAAAAAGAAAAGTTTTTATTAAAAGAGTTGAACAAAATAGAAAGAAAAGTTTCGCGTAATTAAACTTCGAATGAATAAATTAGTTGTAATATATAGAAATAAAAGTTTAATAGTAACTTTTTTTTGAATAAATGAAAATTGGAAGAAAAAATTGCTTGAAAATTTGTATTTGTTGTGTTTTAAAATTTTTTAAATTTTTCATGTTAAGAGACAAATGCCAAATACGATACAAATTGAATATAATAAGTTTTTTAACGCGCGTTATGACATTTTGACAGTTTAAATTACCATTTATCTTGAATTATTGCCATTAATTAATGTTTTAATTATTGGGTTATATAAAAACAATTTGTCCGTTTTTTTGTTAAATATTAGTTGTATAAAACGGGCGAAAATATACAAACTTCATGTTTTTATTTGATGGTTATAAAATATTGAACAGTAAACTAATAATCAAAATGCCTACTTGTGTTGTTATTAATTGTACTTTTAATGCAAAACCAAGATCTCACATATCCTTTCACGGATTTGCATATCTGATACTACTGTCAACTGTATTGTTTAGTGTATTCTTGTACTTTTTTTCATAACCTTAACAGGTTCTAATTGGTATGGAGTTGCCGAGTTTAAAAGTTTCATTATCAAAAATCAAATGTAAAATAAAATGATATTTCCTTTTTATCCGTACCCAATTTAGCAAATTTAGCAATTTAAAATAAATCAGCGTAATCAAAAAATTTTTATAATAAAAAAAGTTAACAATTCATCATATATTTCTAATTAATACTGTCAATTTATGAAATTAATTGTTAATACTTTTTTTTCGACGGGAAAACAAAAAATATCATAGCGTAAAAATAACCAGAGAAGTTATAAAAAAGTTCCCATTTGTTTAAGTAAAAATAAGTAAGATTCAGAATATATAATACTGCGCTCTCTTGCACAAAAACGAGAGACCGTATACATAACGTTCTATATAATGTAAAACACTCGTATGAAAATCATAAGATTCGTAAGTAAAGCTTTAATATTTGTTTTAATTTAAAAACAAAAGAAATATAAGTAAGATATATAAATCTAAAATTTTTAAGATATCGGTAAAAAAAAAAAAGTTCCTCTTTTGAAATAAAAAGCTTTTATTATTTTTGATTTTTACAAAAATTTGTTGTAAAAATTGTTTGTAAAAGTTGTGTGTAAAAGGGTAAGGTTACCGATATTGTACCGGCGCCTAAATTGTACTTTTGCTGTATCTAGTTATTTTTACAACCCAGAAAATATCTTTTGACTTAAATTTTATATTTGCTATGTTGAACTAACGAATCAATTGTTTTTTCGTGAGATAAAACTAGATTCTGGCAGCAGTTACCTCGAGTTGATAAGATGCCAAAGTTAACTTATTTTTGGGGTTCAATGTTTAGATTTGTTAGACTTTAAACATGTTAAATATATCCTTTTTATCATATTTATGTGAAAGCATTAGTTATATGAATTCAAATTAAATTCCAAGAAATTAAAATACATTAGCATTTGTTGTCTAATTTCGTTATAAACTCAAAGTGAGTCTAGTCGCGTAATTCGTACCTCACTTAAGGTCTTAAATTGTACCAAGGCTGCCATTTTGAATGCTCAAAATACGCGTAAAGTATATAAAAATAATATGAATTTTAAAATGTCGAAACGGAGACGTGGTTTGTGGACAAAAGAAGATATGAAAGAGGCTATTTTTGCTTATCGAAATGGTAAAATTGGACTTAACGCTGTATGTGCAAAATATGGAATTCCTAAACCAACATAAAAAAGACATATGAATCATCAAAATATATTTGCAAATGAATCCAATAAACAGTTAGGTAGGTGTAGTATCTTACCTTCTGAAGTTGAGAAAGAATTAGTTGAACATGTTTTGAAACTGGAATCTTGTATGTTTGGAATAAATACAATAGATCTTAGACGATTAGCATTTGAAATTGCTGAAAAAAACAAAATATCTCATCAATTCAACAAAGATGTTGGTATGGCTGGAAAGAAGTTGTATGGTATGGCTGGAAAGAACCAATTCATGAAACGCAATCCAAGCCTTAGTTTGAGATTACCTGAACCAACTTCTATGGCAATAGCCACAGGTTTTTGTAAGGAAAAGTTTGTATTATTTTTCAATAAACTTACTGAACTTGTTGATAATTACAATATTACTGCAGATTTGCTTTACAACGTAGATGAAACTGGAATAGGTACAGTTCACAAACCAAAGAAATTTTTAGCTCTGAAAGGTAAACACCAAGTAGGAAGTATTACAAGTGGTGAAAGGGGTGTGAATACCACTGCCATATGTTGTATTAATGCTGTTGGATCTTTTGTACCTCCTATGCTTATATTTAAACGTAAAAGATTTAAAAATGAGCTTAAAGATAGTGCACCACCATTGACAGTTTTTGGATGTTCTGATACTGGTTGGATAACTAAAGATTTATTTACTTTGTGGATAAGTCATTTTATAAGCTCACTTTGTCTTAAACCTCTTGCAGAAAATCCAGAACAAAAAAAGCTTTAAATTCTAAATATAATACTGCTTGTGATAAATGGATGCGAACCCATCCAGGCAGATGTATTACTCAATATCAAGTATCTCAACTGTTTGACGAAGCTTACTCAAAAGTTGTTGGTATGGAAATTGCTATTAATGGATTTAGAGACACTGGGATATGGCCTGTAGACAGCTCAGTTTTCCGGGAAGAGGACTTTGTACCTTGTGAAATACTCAGTAAAGAGACGAGTTCAAATGCAAAAGCTTCCCAAACAGTAAGTTTAGTCATAGTTTGCCTTTAGTCACATATTTTTCGTTCTCAACTTATTCAAATACCATAATTGTTACTGTTGTTCTAATTATATATTTTTTATTTAACATTTCATTTATTTAGGATAAACTTATTTTAGAAACAATTTCTGCACATCCAGTGAAAACTTCTTCACTCGAGCGAAATCCAAAAAAATCTAGAGCTACTCTATTGAAACATAATGCACATAATAACCCACTCTCTAACGTAACTTTATTATCATCAATGAAAAAAACAGAACAGTAAGTCTTTTATTTTGTTTGTTGCAATTTTACATTAATGGTTACACACACTCAAAACACACACACACAATACACACACACACACACATGTTCATCTCCGAAGGTTATCCATAATATTATTATTTTCTTAATTAAAATGAAAATTTTAAAGCTAATTTTTACTAGCAGAAAACTTTTAGGCTGAAGAAAATTTGTTAGAATTGTTATTGGTTATTTTTTAGGTTGCAGTGTCTTGACATACCAATAAAAGCATTATCTCCACTTCCAGTTAGAACTTCTCCTCTCAAAAGAAAAAATTAATAATTCTAATACAACTGTATTGACGAGAAGTCTTTACAAAGATGCACTCTCTGGAAGAGCTTTACTGCGACCAAATAAAAAAATAAAGCAGGACAGACAATGTTTGAGCAAGCAAATAAATCTCTTCAAAATGAAAGCTGGTTTTGCTACCTCTGTAAAGAAAATATAAAAAAGAGTATGATACAATGCCTTACATGTCAAGGCTGGTGTCATAATGACTGTGCAGGTGTTAATCAAAAACAAAACCGTTATATTTATAACTTTTGTCAAGAATAAAGATTTTCTGTTTTGTATTATTAATATAATGTGCAGTAATATCCATCATTTTCTTACCAAAATTCTAGAAACCACATATGTAAGTTACACATTTAATATAAAAGTTATACCTTATTGAGATGTTTTCAGACTATTCTAGGAACTTTTTTACATAGCTTGGCACAGAAAAAGATCTTTATAAAAATCATTCAAAATGTACTGTAAATTAATATAGTATTTGTAAAATCAAGATATAGGTACAATATTGGATTATAATGGTACGATTTAGGAACTTTTTTCCTTAATTGTACCGATAGCGTGTTTTTAAAATTTAATTCCCTATCAAATAACAACGTTTAAATATTTGAATATTTCAACTTTTTTAGAACAGTTTATCCCCAAATTATAAAGTAAAATAAAGACTCATTGTTTCTACTTTGTATTTTTTCTCTATTTTTGACTTTACTCTTAGAGGGTACAATATCGGCAACCTTACCCTATGTTAAAATTTTTTTTTTGAATTAAAATAGAAAAACGCAGCTTTGTTTCTTTCGGGAAAATAACTTAGTATTGCAGCTGTAGTTGTTTCATCAAATATTGCCAATGCAAGGTTGACATCTTGTTTGTTATTTCCAGGATGAGTGACCTGATAATTGATTTTTCTCGCTTTTTTTAAGTTCCCGTTTAATAACTGATCTTTTTCATAATTTTTATGAAATAAACTCCATGCTATGTAACCAGCAGGAACTTCAACTTTGTCTTTAAACAAATCAAATGAAAAAGAAGGAAAAACATATTTTTTTGCATTTAACAAGTAATTTCTAAATTATTAAATGGATTATATCGAATAACAAGTATGTTTTTAATACTCCATTGTAAACTGGATGACATATAAATAACTTTCCATCTCCATTATATGCTTTATGAAACTCTGAAAATGCACTAACATTGGTAGAATGATTATCTACAACAACAGCTCTTACTTTAAATCCAGATTGGTGCAATGAGGTAATGCATTCATCAATTTCTTTTTTTAACCATGAACCTGTTATATACACTTCAGGTGATGATCTCACAACATAAGGAATAGATTTTTGAAGCCCAACAATCATAAAAACAACAATACCTTTATAAAGATTACTTTCTGAATCTTCGCCAACATATTTCCCACTTTGATATTGGGCTGCTTTTTGCAAATACATCTCATCTACTAGAAGCACACAGTCACTTGATAAACAATTTTTTTGTAACAAAACTTTTATAGCCTTAAATGCATTTATATCACCACTTTGAATTTTTCTTAATAAACTAAAAGATGGTAAGGGTAATTGTTCTAACATTAACTTATATGACTGTGCTGAAGTGTGACGTAAAATTAATGCATAACGTATAACGGACGCAGAATATGGAGGTCTGCCTTGTGGAGAATAGTATCTTATTTTATTTAGCTCTGTCAAAATTGAATTAAAAGAATTAGCTTTATTTGGAATATGGGCAGGAAAATTTTCTATCATACTACAGTTTGTTAATTTGCAATTATGACCACTGCGAAACCATTCAGGTAAAGAAATATGATATCCTTTATACGACAATGAAACATTAAGATCTTTATTAACTGTTATTGACTCAAACACAGTTGGTATACCTGATATTTCATCAAAGCAGAGTTTATAGAAAACAACACTATCGTGAAGTTTCTTAAATGTAAATCCTGGTGGGCAATGCTGTTCTTTTAATGAATTAAGATTAATTATTTTATCAATATTTTGAAGATCACTGAACTCATCTTTTCCCAAGTATCTTAAAGTTGGTTTTTTTCTTGGCAACTTAAAGTTAATGAACTACTTTTTTTATCTGTGTGAATAGTTGGAACAGGTTGGAGATCCCATTTCATGGTGCATCTTTTCCCATTATTAATAAATTTATCCTCGAAATGATCAATACAAATAGCAGAGTGTTTAGATGGAAACCAATCTTTTCTATTGACAAAATATATCAATCGTTCTCGCAAATTGCTTTCTTTAGGAAAATGAAATGTAGAATTTTTTGGACCAGTAGAGTAACCAGTTTTACAGTTTGTGACAACACATTTGTTAACCATTTTTATAACTAAAAAAAATTTCAAAAACTACAATAATATTTAGATTTCTTACATTTATTATTGAAATTATCTCTTTTAAATATAAATTGAATAACATAGCATAAAAAAAGCAGTTCGACTGTATACAATATACCAAGTAGACTGTATGTCTAATATATTATTCCACTCTCTAATGGATTATAGTGAAACAGACAATCAGTCGGAATATAATCAGAAATATATATTACATTAATATGAAAACATAAACCAAACTTTGATATAATAATTGTAATAATCACATTATTTTAATTATTAAATATTGTTAGTTGTCTTATAATAGAAAATAAGCAGTAAAAAAACTGGCCTCTCAATTTTTTACGGAAAATCCAACAAATCAGGCTGTGTAATTATAGTAGGCCATGGTACACTGTGCACCAGAGAGACCGCCAGGTTTTATGTCGTGGCATCAAATAAAACCTTTTTTATTCAAGAGTATTTGTATTATAACAATTAAAAAAATGATTTTTAAAATCCAAACAAATTGCTAAGGGTCATAAATGGGGCAAAAATTTTGATACAAAGGGGGCACAAGCCCATTTAGGTATGCTAGTTGCATGTTACAAAAAAAAAGTTTTTAATTCAAAAGTATTTGTTTAATAAAAATAGAAAAAACCTTTTTTTTAAAAAAAAAAAAAAGTTAAGGGTCCTAAATGAGGCAAAGGGTAAAATGGAGGGGCCTTAAGCCCATTTAAACATTTGAGATGCCCGTTACAATAATTTTTAAAAATAAATGTCAAATATTTTAAACAAAGTATAAAAAAACAAAAAAAAATCAAAATATTTATAATATTTATCAAAATATTGTACATAATTCAACAAAATACGAACAATTCTTCTTCCTGCTCCAGAGCAATATGTCAAAGATACAGATAAATTTAACTCTTCTTTGACTAAAAATAACTATTGAGTCGATCTACGTATTAAGTGTTTTTGTCTACGCATTCAAAACTATTTCATGTATACTCAAATTTGAAACAAACTATCTGCATTGCTCAGAAAACTGTACATTTATAACATAATCATACATGTGTATATATATATATAATATATATATATATATATATATATATATATATATATATATATAAATCATACATACAAACATATATATATATATATATATATATATATATATATATATATATATATATATATATATATATATATATATATATATATATATATATAAATCATACATACAAACATATATATATATATATATATATATATATATATATATATATATATATATATATATATATATATATATATCATACATACAAACATATATATATATATATATATATATATATATATATATATATATATATATATATATATAAATCATACATACAAACATATATATATATATATATATATATATATATATATATATATATATATTATATATATATATATATATATATATATATATATATATATATATATATCATACATACAAATATATATATATATATATATATATATAATATATATATATATATTTATATATATATATATATATTTATATATATAAATTTATAAACAAAATCAAATTCTTTTTGCTCCAAAATCAACTACTACTGATAATAGCCTGTCACCATGTTCGGAATGCTCTATTTGTCTCTTAAACCTTGTCCATGTTGGCTTAAACTTTGCATGAATACTTTCTCCACATTGTTCAGCAAAGTTACCCAATCCTTTGTTATGGTGTTGCACATATGGCTGTGCATGACACAGTAGAATGTGGACTTTCCATGTTGTATTTATTTGTTTATTTAAATTTACTGCAACTTCTTGTGCGGAAAGAAATGAATTCTTTAAATTTGTTATTGCTTCTTTAAAGCCAGTTTGTAAATTGCTGGAAAAGCAACAATTTTTTACATTTCTAAAATCTCTCAAACACTGTACAATTGGAATCAAACAAGTAAATGTTTCTAAAATTTGTGTTTCAAGAGAATCCAGATTTTCTAATATTTAATCTGCCTTGGTACCCTCGCTGAATAACATTTTTTGACTTTAGTCAATCATCAAATCCTGACCAGACATCTAACAAAAAATTTCCAAGCAGTGAAACAAAACCAATTAACAAATGAAGTTCAGGTGGAGGAATGAGTTGCTCAATTAAAGTATTTGGATCTAAATTAATATATAAAATTTGAGGATTGATGCAGTTCATAAACTCTTGCATGGATGATTTTACTGAGTTATTTTCTAAATATTTATTGTACCAATAATTAATACTGCCAAGAGTTCGTTTTGTCCCTAAATTTAATGTAGATATTCCTTCACACCATAAACAAGCTTTTTTCCCAGAATGTCCTGATAAACCAAACAGTGCAATTCCACATTTCAAGTCAAAAGCAACATAAAAACTGACATCTTGCAAATTTAATTTTTCTATAACAAGTCTCAAATTATAGTTAGATTCAGGAATATCCTCAACAATAGCTAAAAATTGAGACCGTTGAACGCCACTATTTAAGTACTCGTCTGACTCATTATCTTTTTGACAATCAAAGACATTGATGATTACTTTAAAAAATGAACCTCCACCATCCAATAAAATTCTTATAAAGGCTGAAGTAGGGTCTAAACCACGCAATTTTAATAAGTCAAGTACAAAATTTGATGTATTTTGAACATATACAAGATCTCGTAAAATTAAATGGCCTTTACTATCAATTAACTCGCACTTCTGCACACTGTAGTAATTAGAAATATATTCTTCTAATTCAGAAAGACGACAAAAAATATTAGGCTCAATGGAAAGCTTATTTCCTATACCTTTGCGTAAAGTAGAAAGCATCTCTTTTGTTTTTCTATTTGAAAGTTCTAACACAATTTGTAATTGCTTTATTATTTCGATGGAAAGCTGCTTAATAGAAGTTCTTTTAGATTTGTTTTCTGGTGTACCAACTGTGACTTTTAGCGGATTTCCTCCTGTAGATAAACAAAATGTTGATCCGTCAACCAAACTTTCTGTAGCCATTTTACTTTTTATAATTCCAGAAGCAACCTACGTAAAGTTTTCACAAAATGAAATTTGCATAAAAAACTAAAAACTTATAAACGAAATATAGTTTTTTTTACCTGTTCAACTTGAAGAGAACCTAGAAGAAATGACACTGTAATGATATTTGCCACAGCACTGGTGGGTGTACAGTTATGAGAATAACCAGGTGCAGGCAATGAATAGCAAAAAGAACATATACTTGACATAGTTGTCGGAAAATTAGTTATCTCATCTGGAAGAGTTAGACTGGTTCTGGGGCTATTTCTCAAAAGGGTTTTCCACTCTACCTAAATAAATATACATTTATAAATAAACAAAAGAAAAAAAAGAAAAAAAAAAATGGAAAAAATCATTAAAATTACCTTGGTAACCTTAGCTCCCCATTCACCACGAGGTGAGTCTCCCTTTTTGAGTCTGTAAAGATTTCTTCGGCAACCAGGACAAACAACTGATGGATAGCAATCGTTGTTCATCGAATATCCAGGAAAGATAAACATTTGAATTTGTTCTTCTAAGTGTTTATTCATTTTTTTCAATGATTTTGATCTTTCGCCATACTTTTCCCAGCAACAGCAACAAGTAGAATTCATTTTTAAGTGAAAGAAATACAACTCCTAAATAGCACGACCTTCGAAGGTCTTATGAAGGTCTTATGAAGGTCTTATTAAGATGGGCTTATAAATTTAATTACGAAGGTCTTATGAAGGTCTTATGAAGGTCTTATTAAGATGGGCTTATAAATTTAATTACGAAGGTCTTATGAAGGTCTTATTAAGATGGGCTTATAAATTTAATTACCCCCTGTACTAACTAATCAAAAAAAAAAATTAGAGATTAAAAAGATGGTAGCATAAAAAATTTCAAATTGCGGAAGCTTCCGCAATTTTAAAATTTTTATACTACCATCTTTTTAATCTCTAAATTTTTTTTGATTAGTTAGTACAGGGGGTAATTAAATTTATAAGCCCATCTAATATGAGGTTACAGTATAATTAATATAATAAATAGCTTATATTTAGTTAACTATATATAAAAATTTGTTAAAAATTTATTTTTGACATATTTAATTTTATTTTTAAACTATTATATTAAACAATATATTTTACAAAATAAATTTTGTTACCTCCATTAACAAAATATCTATCAGTGGTTTCCAAGGATAAAAACATTTTTTTAAACATTTTTTTCAAGTCAAGATCCGGCGAAAAATTAAGAATTTTATAATATATTTATATCAAAAAAGATATGATAGCAACGCGCTTCGATTTCAAAAAATATATTTTCTAAAACAATATATATAATACTTTCATAAAATAAGGACTTGGTTTGAGTGCCACGACAAAAAACCTGGCGGTCTCTCTGGTGCACAGTGGGTAGCTTGATAAAGTTGAACAAAACTTTAAAGAAAATACTAACCAAAACAAAATCTTGGTAAAAGATATTGAAGACATTAAATTATCTTTAAATTTTCAAGAAGAACTCTTCGATAAAAAAATTAAATTAAAAGTCTACGAACAATTAAAAATTAAAAGTCTACGAACAAAACAACGAACGCTTTGAAAAGGAAAACATTCTAGCGGAAAATAGAAACGAAAAATACAGAAAAATCGAAGATAGATCTCGAAAAAAAATTTTAATTATTACTTTTACATTATCTCTGTGAGACATTTTAAATGTCTTACAGAGATAATATACTTTTAACAAATGACATTGATCCTGACGTTAACATTTTTGACAAACTTTCAATCAAAACTAATTGTTTTAATGTCAGTGAGGCTTCTACCTTTCTTTGTTTTTCGAAGAAAGGTAGAAGAAAGGTAGAAACTTTTTTTTCGCTGTTAAACCTAAATATCAGGAGTATGAATAAAAACTTGAAAACTTTAAAATAATGTTAGAAAATTTAAACTACAAATTTAGTGTAATATGTCTAACAGAAACCTGGTTTTAAAACGGAGATGATTCAAACTCAAATTTTTATTTATCGGCTTATAAATCAATTCATCAAGCAAGAAAAAAGAGCATCGGTGGAGGAGTGTGTATTTTTGTTTTAGATTCTTTTATTTTTTTTTTTTTTTTTTTTTTTTTTGTATGTATTTAGGTGCTCCCAGAAGTCCTTACGGTCTTATCATAGAGCACCGCGGGAGAGCATTTAACGGGAAGTTCACGCCTCCTTCCGTACCAATGTCACTTGTTAGGCTAGAGCTGACGTCGAACCTCGGACCTCTGGATTCTGAGCCAGAACTCTAACCACTGCGCCACGGCTGCTCTATTTTCAAAAAGATAGAAAACCTTAGCATAAATAATGCAGACTGCTATTCGATAACTATTGAAAAAATCAATCAAAAAGCTAAAAAATACTTTCATTACTGCTCTATACCGACCACCCAATGGCAATTACGAACTATTTCAAAAACATCGGGAACGCATATTACCTAAGACGTCTCAGTTAAAGAAGTTTCACGCGTCGGTTTGTTTATAAGTGGTATAAAACTGTGCTGAAGAAGTGTATTTACAACGCGCCTGACGTTAGAATCGCAATTTGTATTTAAAAGATTTACGTTAAAGTCACCTGTTAAATAAATGTTTTTACTTGTCTAGACAAGTAAAAACATTTATTTTATAACTTTATGTTAAAGTCACCTGTTAAATAAACGTTTTTACTTGTCTAGACAAGTAAAAACATTTATTTAACAGGTGACTTTAACATAAATCTTTTAAATACAAATTGCGATTCCAACGTCAGGCGCATTGTAAATACACTTCTTCAGCACAGTTTTATACCACTTATAAACAAACCGACGCGTGAAACTTCTTTAACTTCTTCAATCATTGGCAACATACTACATATATATAACAAATATATATAACAAATATATAAAACAAATAACTACATGCTTTATAAAAATAAAAGTGGTATCTTAAAATCGGATATAAGTGACCGTTTTCCAAATTTTCTGATAATCAATCGCTTAACCATTGAAGATAATAATTTCTCTACGACCTACGTCAGACAAATAAACAACAATTCTATAAAAAAATTTCGCGACTTGATACATGAAACCAATTGGGAACTCATAGCTGAGTGCAATGATGCGAATAATGCTTATGATCTTAAGAAATCTTCAAAAAAAAGCAAAAGCTCTACGTTAATTTTTTAAAAAATAAAACTTTAACTAATGAAACTAAATATAAAAAACACAAAAACTCTTTTGAATAATTAAAAAAACAAATAAAAAAAAAACTAATACTCCAATCTGCTCGAAAATTCAAATAGATAGATAATAATAGATAAGCAATAGATAAGCAATAGATAAGCAGCCGTGGCGCAGTGGTAGCGCACTTGCCTCAGAAACGTAAGATCCGCGGTTCAAATGCCACCTCTGGGCAAGTTTTGCGACATCGGTTGAGAAGGAGGCGTGAACTTCCTATTGGATGCTCATCCGCGGTGCTCTGTGATAAGACCGTAAGGACTTCTTGGGGCACCCAAATCAACACAGATGTTTTTGACAGAAAAAAAAATTGCTGATATGTTTAATAAATTTTTTATAAACGTTGGTAAAAATTTAGCCGAAAAAATAATTCCGGGAAACAAAACGTTTAAGTCTTTTTTAAAAAAAACATACTCAATTATGAATGAGTTTGAAATATCCTCGGATGAACTTCGAACAGCCTTAAATTTATTAAAAACCAAAAAGAGTCCAGGAATCGACAAAATCAATGCAAGTGCTTTGAAATCAGTTTTTGATATTATTGAATCACCTCTTTTAACATTATTCAACTTATCTTTAAAAACTGGTGTTTTTCCTGATAGATTAAAAATAGCAAGAGTAGTCCCTATTTATAAAAATGGCGACGACTCTTTAGCATCCAACTATAGGCCTATATCAATACTTTCTTGTTTTTCAAAGCTTCTCGAACGTGTTATGTACAATAGATTATACAACTATCTTGAAACAAATAATATTCTGTATAACAAACAATTTGTTTTTTGCAAGAGTCATTCAACATATCATGCAATAATTGAATTAGTCAATAACATTTTGAATGGTTTAGAAAATAATGAATATACTCTAGCCTTGTTTATCGATTTAACAAAAGCATTCGATACAGTTGACCACGAGATCCTTCTGCATAAACTAGAAATGTATGGAGTAACAGGCAACAATCTAAGACGGTTCAGAAATTACATAAATAACAGGAACCAAGAAGTGTTGTAAAACACAGGATGCACACGGTTACAAACAATAAGTTGTGGTGTACCCCAAGGTTCCATTCTTGGACCTTTACTATTTTTAATCTATGTGAACGATATTTACTTAACTTCAAACATTCTTAATTTTACTCTTTTTGCAGATGATACGAAAATTTTTTTACTCACTCAAATATAAAAACAATATTTTCTACAGTTAATCACGAGCTGCAAAACTTAAACGAGTGGTTTAAAGCTTATAAACTTTCCTTAAACATCCTCAAAACCAAATATATTTTATTTCACAAATCATCTAATTTTGTTAATTTACCACTTCAGCTTCCCGAGCTTATGATCAATAGCATTAATATAGAAAGAGACCATTCGATGAAAATCCTGGTAATAATTTTTCAAGAAAATCTTAGTTGGAAGAATCATATTTTGCACATCGAAAATAAAATCTCTAAGTTAATTGGCATCATGCATAAAATAAAACACCTTCTAAATAAAACTTGCTTAAAAAATATATATTATTCGTTCATTCACAGTTATATCAACTATTGCAATATCTTTTGGGCAAGCACATACTCTTTAGTACTAAAAATGATATATGTAAAACAAAAGCATGCGTGTCGAATTGTATGCAATGCTAACAGATATACCCATGCCAAACCATTATTCAGGGAAATTGGAGCTCTAAATGTTTATGAACTGAACCTTTTCCAAAATGTATTATTTATGTTTCAATCGCAAAACAATTTACTACCAAAATACTTTGAAAATCAATTTTCCACCATTGATCACAAATACCCAACAAAGTACTCTTTACAAAACTTTAACATTCCAAAAACTTTACTTAAAATAACTGATTTCTCTATCTTATCTCGAGGACCGCGGCTATGGAATTCGATCCTTAAAGAAGAAATAAAAAACATGAAGTCATGAAATTTCTTCAAAGCAGCTGTCAAAAAGCACCAATTTAACTTAAATGACGTCTCCTACTTTTAGAGATCAAATTAATAATAACTAAAACGAACTTAACCCTTTTGGATGACCACAAACGATGATTTTATCACAATACAAATAGTTTTTCTTTGCTATACCCGTCTATCAGATCGTTACGTACAAGGCTTTGTTTTTTACGGCTATGTATTTGCTTTATTTCAACTTAGGAATTTATATATATATATATATATATATATATATATATATATATATATATATATATATATATATATATATATATATATATATATAGCCTTATGTTATTTATATATATTTATTATATATATATATATATATATATATATATATATATATATATATATATATGATATATATATATATATATATATATATATATATATATATATATATATATATATATATATATATATATATATATATATATATATATATATATATATAAAATAGCCTTATGACTAAAATGATTGTTATCAGATTTTTAACGAATAAATATCATTTAAAGTTTGATTTTGTTTACAAAACATAAAAAAAGTATTGTGATTATCATCATGAGGAAAATAAATCTTGAATTAGAAAAAAATATTGTGGAAAGACTTAAATCCGGACAATCTTATCGTGAAATCGCTGCTGAGTTCGGAAAGTCTCTTAATCTCATATATAAAATCAAATTGCGCAATAATTTAGTAGTAAATAAGCCTAAAAGTGGTCGAAGGAATATTTTTACACCAAGAGACCAAAGAACAATCGCTCGTTTAATTGCTGCTGGAAAGTCTAAAACTGCAAAGGATGTTACTAATTTAATGAATAACAGCTATGTATATACTTTTATTTCGAAGATAGTGTTTGCTTTTTCTTAAGCGACTGTAAATTATAAAAAAGATAAAGGGAAGTGTTAATTTACATTTATACATAAAGCAAAAAAAATTATAGACATTAAGCTGATATACATTAAGAATATTCATTTTAAATAAAAGAGACCTGGGATGAGTACAAGGGTCTTTAAAATTTTTAAGACGTGCAATATACTTTTGTTGACAATAAAGAATTTCTAGTATACTATTTTTGACACCACCCCATGCAGTATAAGCATAATTAAAATTATGTCCCCAAAAATCTAAACATTTCTAGAAGAATCTAAAAATTTTCCGAGAAGAATCTTATTCAGGAGAATTTCCCAGAAAAAATTTCCTAGGAGAATCTTTCCCAGGAGAATCTAAAAATTCTTTACTTTTCTTATATACAAAGTTACCAAAACATATGCTAATATTGCCTGGGGAAGTACAAATAAATCTAAGTTACGTTCTTTATATATAAACCAAAAACATGCATTAAGATTAATTTGTAATAAAAATAAATTTACTCATGCTTCAGTGCGGACAGTCAATAGAGAGCTCAAAAGAATTGGTTTTCAATCCAGAAGGAAGATCAAGAAGCCATTGTTAGTTTCTGGTCACCGCCAAGCTTGTTTAAATTATGCTAAACTTCATGCACGCATAACTTTTGATGACTTTTATGACTGGATTTGGACAGATGAAAGTAAAACTAATATGTTTGGATCAGATGGTATAAGATATACTTAGAGAAAGCCTTATTCCCCATTTAGTGCTCGAGATTTTACACCAACCGTTAAATATGGCGGAGGAAAACTCTTTTTTTGAGGATGTTTCTGTGCTCGTGGAGTCGGTGAATTAGTGAAAATTAATGGAATAATGAACGCTGATGACTATATCAACATCCTTAAGTTAGGATATTTCAAGGCCCTTTCGAAAAGAGCTCCAACTCAAATAATGGGCACTATATTTATCAGTGGCGGATTAAGACTTCTTAGGACCCGGGGCTATTTTTAATTTTTAGAGGCCTTTTTTATGGGTCAGAGCCTAAAAATGACTATAAAAAAAAAAATGTCCTCTAAAAATTTTGGGGGCCCCTAAATTTGCGGAGCCCTGGGCTAAAGCCTCTAGCTCCTCCCCTCCCCCATCCTTTGATCCATCACTGATATTTATTAACAACTTGTTGGTAGCGGAAAAACTTTTTCAAAGTGTAAACTCAACATTTGTTTTTTTTTTTACGTAGCCAAGAAATTATGACAAATCAATAATTTTTTGATATTATTTATATTTAGCAAATTTAAAAACAAATCTTAGAACTCTAAGTATGAAATGTACTTTCCCCACAACGAATACAACTTTATTATACACGCACACGCACGCACACACACACTCACAAACACACACTCACAAACACACACTCACAAACACACACAAACACGCACAAACACACACAGATTAAAAAAACCACACCCTTTGTTTAAAAATATTTAATTGACAAATAAATATTAAAATCAAAATTAAAACATAAAACAACTCGCACTTAAACATATTGAGACCCATTTTTTGGCACATGCTTGATACCTAAAACTTCAGTTTTTATTTTTTTAACGGAAAAATAAAATTTTAAAAGTTTTCAAAATTCTTTTGTACTGTGTAAATTGCAAGTGCAAATTAAAATATTTTTTTGTGTGCCTAATGTGTTTGGATGACTGTTACCTAAAAGTTCAGTTTGTAATTTACCAACAGAATAAAATATTTCTAATGCATCGTTATATTTTCCCATATAATACAAACAAACTGCAATATTACTTTTTGTTTGCAATGTTGACGGATGGTTGATACCTAAAATGTCTATTTGCATTTTATTTACAGAATAAAAAATTTCTACAGCTTCGTTAATTTTTCCCATACTCTTCAAACAGTGTGCGATACTAGTTTTTGTAAGCATTGTTAAAGGATGGTTAATGCCTAAAACTTCAGTATGTAATTTATCAAGAAAATAATGAATTTCTAAAGCTTCGTTATGTTTCCCCATGGAGCTCAAACAGTTTGCCATATTAAACTTTGTTTTCATAGTTGACGGATGATTAATACCTAAAATTTCAGTTTGTATTTTATAAACAGTATAATAAATTTCTAAAGCTTCGTTATACTTTCCCATATTACTCAAACAGTTTGCGATATTATTTTTTGTTGACATTGTTGACGGATGATTGATACCTAATATTTTAGTTTGTAATTTATCAACAGAATAATAAATTTCTAAAGCTTCGTTATACTTTCCCTTGTTATTCAAACAGTTTGCAATATTATTTTTTGTTGCCATTGTTGACGGATGGTTGATACCTAAAACATCAGTTTTTGTTTTATTAACAGAATAATAAATTTCTAAAGCTTTGTTATACTTTCCCATATTACTCAAACAGTTTGCGATATTATTTTTTGTTGACATTGTTGAAGGATGGTTGATACCTAAAATTTTAGTTTGTAATTTATCAACAGTACAATAAATTTCTAAAGCTTCGTTATACTTTCCTATATTGTTCAAACGGTTTGCGATATTATTTTTTGTTGCCATTGTTGACGGATGGTTGATACCTAAAACATCAGTTTTTGTTTTATTAACAGAATAATAAATTTCTAAAGCTTCGTTATACTTTCCCATATTACTCAAACAGTTTGCGATATTATTTTTTGTTGACATTGTTGAAAGATGGTTGATACCTAAAATTTTAGTTTGTAATTTATCAACAATACAATAAATTTCTAAAGCTTTGTTATACTTTCCCATATTGCTCAAACAGATTGCGATATTATTTTTTGTTGACATTGTTGACGGATGGTTGATCCCTAAAATTTCAGTTTGTAATTTATCAACAGAGTAATAAATTTCTAAAGCTTCGTTATATTTTCCCATATTGCTCAAACCGATTGCTATGTTACTTTTTGTTTCCATTATTGACGGATGGTTGATACCTAAACTTTCAGTTTTTATTTTATCGACAGAATAATAAACTTCTAAAGCTTCGTTATACTTTCCCATATTACTCAAACAGTTTGCGATATTATTTTTTGTTGACATTGTTGAAGGATGGTTGATACCTAAAATTTCAGTTTGTAATTTATCAACAGAATAATATATTTCTAAAGCTTCCTTATACTTTCCTATTTTATTCAGACAGTTTGCAATATTATTTTTTGTTGACATTGTTGACGGATGGTTGATACCTAAAACATCAGTTTTTGTTATATTAACAGAATAATAAATTTCTAAAGCTTCGTTATACTTTTCCATATTGCTCAAACAGATTGCAATATTACTTTTTGTTGACATTGTTGACGGATGGTTGATACCTAAAATTTCAGTTTGTAATTTATCAACAGTATAATAAATTTCTAAAGCTTCGTTATACTTTCCCATATTGTTCAAACAGTTTGCGATATTATTTTTTGTTGACATTGTTGACGGATGGTTGATACCTAAAATTTCAGTTTGTAATTTATTAACAGAATAATAAATTTCTAAAGCTGTATTATACTCTCTTGTATTGCTAAAATAGATTGCGATATTTTTTTTTGTTGAGATTGTTGACGGATGGTTAATACCTAAAATTTTAGTTTGTAATTTATCAACAAAATAATAAATTTCTAACGCTTTGTTATACTTTCCCATATTGCTCAAACAGATTGCGACATTATTTTTTGTTGACATTGTTGACGGATGGTGGATCCCTAAAATTTCAGTTTGTAATTTATCAACAGAGTAATAAATTTCTAAAGCTTCGTTATATTTTCCCATATTGCTCAAACAGATTGCTATGTTACTTTTTGTTTCCATTATTGACGGATGGTTAATGTCTAAAATTTCAGTTTTTATTTTATCAACAGAATAATAAATTTCTAAAGCTTCGTTATACTTTCCCATTTTCATCAAACAGAGTGCGATATTATGTTTTGTGTCCATAATTGACGGATGGTTAATACCTAAAAATTCGGTTTTTTTTTTTTCAACAGAATAATATATTTCTAAAGCTTCGTTATATTTTCCCATTTTTGTCAAACAGACTGCGATATTATGTTTTGTATCCACAGCTGATGGATTGTTGATACCGAAAAGTTCAGTTTTTGTTTTATCAACAGAGTAATATACCCTCAAAGCTTCTCTATATTTTCCCATGTCGTGCAAACATTTACCGATGTTAAATTTTGTATCAAGAGTTAGTTCATTATTTTCTCCATAAGTTTCTGCATTAAAACTTAGAATAGCTTTCAGTATTTCAATAGCTTCTTGAAATAAACCTTTACATGTTAAGAAATTATAAATAATATTTGATGCACAATAAAAGGATTCCGTCATTTCTTTTCTTTTTTTCCGAAACATAAAGAAAAAATGAAATACAAAATGATTTCCGTAATCAACGTGATCGTTCATGTCTTTTAACTCAAAAGTAAAATAATTTTCGATAAGATCATGGAATGTTTTTAAACTGAAGTTTTTAATTTGAAAATATTTACATGACAGCTGTGTCAGATCGTGCATTGAATATTTTCCATGACTAAAACAATCTAGCAATGAATAACTAACCAGTAATCTAATAGCGTCATCAATCAAGTATTCATCTTTTATTGCCATGTATTTTGAAATTTGGACAATAAAATGCTTGCTGATGTTTTGACCATCGCAATGTGATAAACAGTTCAGTAATTTTAATGGAACACTGTCATTATTTTCTAACTTTATTAAAACTAAATTAATTGCTTTTACAGCAGACATCGATTCTGATTCGGTTGGAAATTTATCATCGTCTAGTATTTGTATGGGATGCATTCTATATCGATCTAAATATGTTTCAATTGCAACTGAGAGTGCGTTTATATATTTTATCGCCTGAGTGATGGCAAAAGGATGGAAACCAAGCTCTTTTATTAATTCTTTTAACTTTTCGTCTGAATTTGTTTTAATGTTGTTTTTTATATAAACTAAAGCTTCTTCAGGAGAAAAAACATCTATTGACATCAGGTTTATGTTATCTGACCACGTTCTCCATTGAGTGGTGATCAAAGTAAAAGAATTTGATTTCCTTGAAATGTACATTTCAAAATTTCTAACACTTTCACTGTCAACATTGTCAAAAATGTACAAAGTTTTTTCGTATCTAAAGTAGTTATGTATATTTTCAATAATCAAATTAATATTGAAATAATTATTTGTTGGAGATTTTTGTGAATCGTTAACACCAAGTCCTAATTTTTGATAAAGGGCTTCCATTGAAATTCGTATTTTTCCAAATGCTGCGTCTATCCAAATAATGTTTTCAAAAAACTTTTCATATACTTCACAATATTTTCTGGCAAGTTGTGTTTTTCCACTACCTGACATTCCGGATAATACTAAAGGCTTTTTCGTATCTTGTAGCTCGACCAAACTGCGATGTATTTCACTAAGTTCTTTATTTCGTGAAAAGAAGTTTTTAAAAGAGGGTAAGACACCATGTATTGAATGAAAAGATAATTCTATAAAAAATTATTATCTTATTATTACGAGTAATACAAATCTCTTTTATAATTTACATATAAATATATTATTAAATTTTTCAACTGATATACTATTTTTTTAGTTTTAATGTATTAATTTTAATGTTTTCATTGCTTTTATTGCTTAGATTTAAGCAAATTTATTTGAAAATTTTAACCCTCTCGAGAATTCAGATTCAAGTAAATTTATTTAGTTAACTATATTCTCAAATTATTAGGAAAAAAAATGTTTTGAAGCGTCCGGCAAAAGAGGGACATGTCCTTCTTTTTTATCATTTGTCCTCTCTGAGAACAAATGATAAAAATGACATACTTTGCTGCGACTCCAGAGGACCAACAACTCTAGATTGTGTTTAAACGGATCTCTAGATTGTGTTTAAACGGGATTTACGACCCGTTTTGAGCCGATTGAGACCACTGCGCATTTAGCAAATGTAGAAAAATTTATCATTGGTCAATGCTTGGAAGTTGGATTTGTTGAGGCTTTTTACAAAGATGACTTTGAAGGTTATAGAAGGTTACAACTCCATTGCGATATATTTGTGGATCATGCAAAATTCAAAAATATTAAACTAAATGATTTTGAATCAGTTTTAAATGAGCTTGTAGACCATAATGGTGTCCTTTATTACTTAATTTCACTGATTCCCAAGTTTGTGAAGCTTGTAAAGATTTTACAATGTATGCCTGTCACCTCATGTACGTGTAAGCACTCTTTTTCTTGTCTTCGTAGGCTAAAGACTTATTTGCGTTGTACAATGTCTCAGGAGCAATTGAATCATCTTGCTATTTTAAACTGTTATCGCTATATTGCCTACACTCTTAATCTTGATCATTTAATCGATGAGTTTATAATGCGTGCCTCCATACGCATTAACACATTTTACTTGAAAAAATAAGTTACATTTATATACTCATTAAAAAAACTTTTTATTTCTTATTGTAGATTTTCAACCACTACAAAATAGTTTATGCCCCATCCGGGAAAACTAAAACTACACCTATGATTAGATATAAGTATCGTCTTCAACCATTTGCCAAAGATTGTAGTAGTAATTCTAGTACACCAAGCAGTAATTAATGTAATTTAACAATTGTTTTATGTTGATGTTAAGGAAAAAACAGGTTCCATAGGGAAAAAAATACTTTTGATCTTGTTAGAAGTATTTCTTTTAAAGATTTTTTGGCAAAATGTAAAGATGTTTCACTTGCATAGTCTGTAAAAGAAACTGATGTAAATGAGACTTTTATTTGCTAGTCCTTTTAAAAGTCCTTTTATGCTAGTGTACTTAAAACATACCCATTAAAACAAAAACAAAAAAATAACAAATGGGTGTTTGTTATAAAATAATATTATATTATTTTAGCAATAATAAATTCCATAAAACTAGTCTATTGTTTTTATTAAATTTAAAAAAAAAACAAGGCGTTTTAAAATAGGTTTTGTTTTTACAAAACGCCTACAAAATTTGTAAGGGTGGAGAGGGGGTTAGTAGTTTTGTGAAAAAGGAGGAGGGAGTCGGAGATCATACAAAACTTGCAAAGTGTTACGATTTTGTGAAAAAGGAGGGGGGAGTTGGAGATCAAAAAATGGTCAAAAATTGTGTGACGTATTTTATGAACAACCCCCATGCTTTGATGTTAAAGTTTAAAAAGCGTTTCACGATTTAACAATAGTATACTTTTTTGAGAATTAGGGAAGGTTTTGTAAGATGAGTAGATTCCTAAGAATTATTAGAAAGATTATCTACTACGCATAGTAGGTAAGAATATGTTTTTCAATAGAACACATGAGTACGTTAGATTTACATCAAGTTTTTTGAATTTAGAATTAATTTGATCGCATGTATTACTTAAAACCGAATGTATTACGTAAAACTAGTTTACATTATTTAAAAAAAATAGTACTAGTATAAGTGTAAAATGAAAAATCCTTTCAATTGAGCAATGTTTTAGTTAATTTTATCCTTTTATATACAATAATAATTAAACTTAACTTAAGTTATAAAATTCATGCAAGAAGAAAATTTTTTATTTTGGAAAAATCGCAAAAATGTAATAATATAAAATAAACTTAAAACAACAGACAGAAACGTCCGTTTTAAGTACCACCCATTGCTGCTGTCTAAAAAAAAAAAATCTTTACAAAGAAAGTTGCTCGTAATTTGGCTACTCAACAAGTTGAACTGAGAAAATTATTTGAAAGGAATAAGCTTAGGGAAAAATGTTATTGTGGTGATCAAAAACATAAAAATGCTCCAATTTATTATATAGTTATTACTATATAACTATATAGCATTTTTATTATATTATATTTTATTATATTATATTCTATTATGTTATTATTATATAACTAAACATGCAATAGTGTTAATACTATACAAATCAACAATTTTAAACTTTCATCTAACAAAATAATTGATTATTGAAAAAATAAAACATTAAAAACATGAGTGAAAGTCAATTATCATTTGTTGTCCTCAAGTTATAATGAATAAACATAAGTTTTTCACCACTTTCTGGTGATAGTCTGTTTCTATTGGATTCGTAAATGTTGCCACCTGTACTAACAGAAGATAGTGGTGCTGAAAGAAACTTTTGGGTAATTTTCCTTAAATTTTTAAAAGACTTTCCACAATTTTTCCACCACAAGAGAGGACTTTTTTCTTTTTCCGTGACAAGAGGTAGCTTTAAATAATCTTCAATTTCCTTGTTTATCATTTGTATACTAGAATTTGATCTTTTTAACCTTTTGCTATTTTCAGTATTTACAAAATTGGAATCACATTCGTCTATAGTTATCAGTTTAGAAACTTTCTGAAAACATTCATTGAATTTTAGATAAGCTGGTTTTGCAATTACTTCATTTATGTTATGTACTGAAGGTTAATCAAAATCAGAATCAGAGGGTTCAAGTTCTAAATTACTTTGTTGCATTTCTTGCATCTGTTCATTTATCCAATTTTTTATTTTATCCTTGTCATCCTTTTGATATGTCAATTTATATCTTATAAGACAATAAATATTTATCATGTAAATATGTACCCAATCTTTTGTCTACTGACCTACTTAATTGTTTAACTAAAGTATTTATTGTTAAAAAAGCCTCACATACTAATGTTTGATTAAAAAATTCTTTTAGAGCCATAATTGAAAAAATAACATCTGAAAAATATGATTCACGTTTACTGAAATTGATGGTTAAAGTTTTATATGGTTCTAAAATATGCAACACTTTATCTAATAAGCCCCATTGAAATGAATTTAGTGTTGATTGGATAGGATAATCAGCTGTATAAGTTGCCAAAGGAACTCTTTGATCAAGCATCCTTTCAATCATATCATAAGAACTGTTCCATCTTGTAGTAATATCTTGGAACAATCATCCAATATATATATATATATATATATATATATATATATATATATATATATATATATATATATATATATATATATATATATATATATATATATATATATATATATATATATATATATATATATATATATATATATATATATATATATATAATATATATATATATATATATATATATATATATATATATATATATATATATATATATATATATATATATATATATATAGAACATACGCAACTTTTCCCTACTTTAGTTAAATTCTGATACAACGGCATACATTTGCAGCCAATCAAATAACTGCTGCAGATGCTGCATAAATAGTTTACACGGCAGATTTTATTTTTAAACGAATCAGATTGCTACTTTTATTAGTGAGGAACCAATAAACTTTTCCAATTTTCTCATTCCATCAAAGTATGATTTCCATTAGAAATTTTTTTTAAATAATTTTTTCATCCTCTTCAGAGCATAGTTTTCACTGTAAAATTATTTCACAATACATTTTCTAACAAAAATAAAGAACTCGTCGGTCTTATAATTGGCGGGCGGTCCAAGACATAATGTCAAATTTTATATTTTTTTTTTACCCCGTCAGTTGCAGCACTTGATAGTATTTATATCCGCCTCTGAGTCACAATGAAAACAGTGAATAAGGTCTATTGAATAAATGGTCTTTAGTTCGCCGAGATATGTTTGACAGTATAAATATAAAAGTGTTTGTTATTCAGTTCCACAATTTTTAAAAGCTAAAGGATTTGAAATTATTAATCCACTTTTTTAAAGTTTTATAAAGTTTGTTAAAAAATTTTAGTATTAGCAACTGCTTAACTAAAATTTATAACAAAAATAAATAAATATTAATACAAAGTGATATTGTGGACGTTTAAAATGTTTAGTAAAATTAAATATATATATATATATATATATATATATATATATATATATATATATATATATATATATATATATATATATATATATATATATATATATATATATAATGTTAAATATGATATCTATCACAACATATTTAATATGAAATGACAGTTGATAGTTATACTTATAAAAAGGTGTGTAAGAATATAAAACTCAAGTGACCTCTTATAAGTTAAGCAACGCTATATTTCTACGCTAAAAACGCAACGTCTCTAATTAACAATATCATTACAACTGATATCTTTAACAATGACATTTAAAAAGACAATTTATAACCTGACATTTCTGATTATTTCCCAGTCTTTCTGACTCTTAACTTAAACGCTTCGATTAATAATAATTCTAAAACAATATTTATTGGAGATTTTAATCTAACCAATATAAATCTCTTTAAAAATCAGTTATCTCTTTTGCACTGGGATTATATTAATTTCAAGGGGAATGTTGATGTCATTTATGAGACCTTCTTTAAAACATTTTACGCCGTATATGATGCTAACTTTCCAATTATTGAAAAAACAATTACAATGAAAAATTTTAATAACCCTTGGGCTACCAAGGGTTTCAAAAAGTCATCTAAAACAAAACAGAAGTTGTATATAAAATATCTTGAAACAAAATCGTCTAAAAATGAAAATATATACAAAGATTACAAATATTTGTTCAAAAAAATTCGTAAACGCTTAAAAAAAAATTATTACTCTAGAAAATTAGACAAATTTAAAAATAACTCTAAGCGCACTTGGCAAGTATTAAAAGAAATTAATGGCAATCAAAAAACATGCTCAAGTTCCCTCCCCCAAATGATTATAGTTGATAACAAAAGTATTTATGAATCAAAAGCTATATCTAACGAATTTAATAAATACTTTATCGAAATCGGCCCTAAATTAGCTAATAAAGTTCCCTTTACCCCAGCCGCCTTTAATGATTTTTTAGTACCAATGGATGATTGCATCTGTTCCAAAGAAATATACACAGAACTATCTTTTGATGAATTCGAAATTGCCTTCAAATCACTAAAAAAAAAATAGCTATCGGACCTGATGGAATTAATAGTGATATAATTATCGAGTGTTTTGATCATCTTAAAAATATTCTTTATAAAGTTTATAAATCATCTGTCCACCAAGGAGTTTTGCCTGATCGCCTAAAAATTGCAAAAGTTATTCCAATTTTGAAAGAAGGAGACTGTTGCAATATCAGTAACTATCGCCCTATATCTATCCTTTCTACCTTTTCAAAAATCTTAGAGCGTATTTTGTACAATAGAGTATACAATTATCTTGTCTCCAATAATCTTTTTTGTAATAATCAATTTGGTTTCAAAAAAAATAATTCTACCGAACATGCAATCATCCAATTTGTACGAGAAATCTCAAATTCCAAAATTGTACGAGAAATATCAAAGATTCCAATTTACAAAGTTCCCAATTTACATTATTGACTTGTTGAAGGCTTTTGATACTGTCGACCATGAAGTCCTTCTTGAAAAACTAAAATACTACGGATTAAACTATATAACTATAAAATGGCTTCGTAGTTACTTATCAAACCGCAAACAATTTGTTTTTATTAATAACTATAACCAAAGCCATCTACTAAATATTTCCTGTGGTGTTCCCCAAGGTTTTATCTTGGGGCCAGTCTTAATCTATATAAATAACTTAAATAAAGCCTCAAACTTAATCACGTTTGCCGACGACACCTACTTATTCCTGACAAATAATGACATATCCAAACTATTTTCTACAATGAATGATGAACTTAAAAACATATCTACTTGGTTCAAATGTAACAAGTTAACTCTTAACATTAATAAAACCAAATGGGTTCTTTTCCATTCACTCTCTAAAAAATTTGCCCAAAATATTTATTGATAAAGTTGAAATAAAAAGAGATTTTGTTACTAAATTTTTAGGAGTGTTCTCGACAAGAACATTACATGGAAACCGCATATAGAATATATCTGCTCAAAAATATCTAAAAGTAAGGGAGTCTTTTATAAATCTAGATCATATTTAAACAAAAAAGCTTTAACCCAACTCTATTATTCATTTATTCACACCTATATTAATTATGCCAACATAGCGTGGGGAAGCACCGAAAAGAGTAAGCTAAAATGCCTTTTTCGTCGTCGGAAGCATGCGATCCGATTGATTAATTTTGCAGATCGTTTTACTCATTCCAAACCATTATTTATGGAGATGAAAATACTTAATATTTACGAGCTCAATGTTTATAACATTTTATGCTTTATTTACATGTGGAAAAACGATTTAACTTTACCTGTCTTTAAAGACCTTTTTTCTCTAAACCTAATTAATAAATATTTACTAAGAAATAAAAATTTTGTACATGAACCTATTTGCAGAACAAAATTTAACAAATATTGCATTACATTTCGAGCACCCTATATTGGAATAAAATTGTTATAAATAATTTCGATATATCCAATACATTTCCGATCTTTAAAAGTAAACTTAAAAATTTTATTTTATCTATTGATGATATATTTAAATACTTTTTATAACAATCACGTATTTGTCTTTTTAATTGTAAGACTGTTGTATTTTCTCTTACCTTTTAAAAAAAGAGATGTATTAGTGTACTTACTATGTATATATATATATATATATATATATATATATATATATATATATATATATATATATATATATATATATATATATATATTTACGTTTATATAAGATCTGATGATATGATCAGACTTTTTATTATATATAACATTAGTGGTTTGATTTATATTTCCAATTTATATCACGATTTATTGTAATTTTTTAGTTTTGTTAATGTATTGATTTTAAAAAACTTGTAAAAGGTTCTGATGATAAGATCATTATGATCTTCTTTCAGAAGTCTTGTTTGTTTATCTTTGTAAACAACGACAAAATGTAAAAAAAAATAAATTAAAAAAAAAATAAAAATAAAAAATTTCACTAATAAACAATGCAAAAAAAGTTAAAAGTTTTGCATCAAGTTAAATAAACTATTAAAATAGCCAATTAAGTATAATGAAAGTCGTCGCCTAAAAGAGCCTAAGTTCTCCTTTTTTAAATAAAAAAAATTTAGCATTGTGTAAGTTATGGACGATCCGTAATTTAAAAGTCGTATTCAAGCTTACAAGAAAACTTACAATCAGGAGAGATGAACTAACTTAATAACTAAAACTTACTTCGTTCGCATTTATTAATCACATCAGTTCGTTTACAAAAACCCAATCCATCTTTAATGTCTCTCCATTTTTTAGATGGGTTCTTTCTGCAAAAACTGTAAAGAATTTGATAAGTCTGTTCAAAGGCTGTCTTGTACTCACTCAAGACTCGATCAATTTCTTCATTACTAATGTTCAATCTGCGAGCAAATTTCTTCCAATCATTTGGCAGTTCATTTGCAATCGTGTTCAAGACTTGCTGTGGAAGTTTTTCAACTGAAAAAATGTAAAATTATTGTAAATAAAAATAATAAAATTAAAAAAAGTTCAGTTTGTTTATATAGAATATAAAAGTACCTTTTAAGTTATCAAACTCATTATTAACTCCTTGATAGTCCATTTAATATTGAACAACAAAATATTCTTCAAAACTCGGGATTTTTTTAATTCATACGTTTTATTTTGATTTATAATTCATATTTTTTAATTCATAATTCTTTGAAGAAACGCACAAAATTTTTATTTTTTATTTGTATTTTAGTATGATTTTGTTTACTCAGAAGTTTATATTTCACAAAAATAAAAAAAAAATAACGGAGATTATTGAAATAACATCGAGTTCTAGTGAATTACTTTACCATAAAAGGTAAAAACTCGTTACGAAACAAGTTTATATTTCACAAAAATAACAGAGTTTATTGAAATAACATCGAGTTCTAGTGAATTACTTTACCATAAAAGGTAAAAACTCGTTACGAAACAAGTTTATATTTCACAAAAATAACAGAGTTTATTGAAATAACATCGAGTTCTAGTGAATTACTTTACCATAAAAAGTAAAAACTCGTTACGAAACAAGTTTATATTTCACAAAAATAACAGAGTTTATTGAAATAACATCGAGTTCTAGTGAATTACTTTACCATAAAAGGTAAAAACTCGTTACGAAACAAGTTTATATTTCACAAAAATAACAGAGTTTATTGAAATAACATCGAGTTCTAGTGAATTACTTTACCATAAAAGGTAAAAACTCGTTACGAAACAAGTTTATATTTCACAAAAATAACAGAGTTTATTGAAATAACATCGAGTTCTAGTGAATTACTTTACCATAAAAGGTAAAAACTCGTTACGAAACAAGTTTATATTTCACAAAAATAACAGAGTTTATTGAAATAACATCGAGTTCTAGTGAATTACTTTACCATAAAAGGTAAAAACTCGTTACGAAACAAGTTTATATTTCACAAAAATAACAGAGTTTATTGAAATAACATCGAGTTCTAGTGAATTACTTTACCATAAAAAGTAAAAACTCGTTACGAAACAAGTTTATATTTCACAAAAATAACAGAGTTTATTGAAATAACATCGAGTTCTAGTGAATTACTTTACCATAAAAGGTAAAAACTCGTTACGAAACAAGTTTATATTTCACAAAAATAACAGAGTTTATTGAAATAACATCGAGTTCTAGTGAATTACTTTACCATAAAAGGTAAAAACTCGTTACGAAACAAGTTTATATTTCACAAAAATAACAGAGTTTATTGAAATAACATCGAGTTCTAGTGAATTACTTTACCATAAAAGGTAAAAACTCGTTACGAAACAAGTTTATATTTCACAAAAATAACAGAGATTATTGAAATAACATCGAGTTCTAGTGAATTACTTTACCATAAAAAGTAAAAACTCGTTACGAAACAAGTTTATATTTCACAAAAATAACAGAGTTTATTGAAATAACATCGAGTTCTAGTGAATTACTTTACCATAAAAGGTAAAAACTCGTTACGAAACAATATATTTAATAACTATTATTTTATACACTCTAAAAAAACTAACGCCAATATAACGGATGGTTTTGAAAAAAGTAAACACTATAAGTTATATGTAAAACAAAATGCAAAAACACAATTTATAAAAACTCAGATTCTTGCTTATAGAGCATCCATCTTAAAATCAATACCGATTTCAAAATCATTTTTTCTAGTTCATCCAAATTCAGCCCTTATTTATCCGTTATATTTATAATACGTTTTATTTTTTTTGTTCTTATTATTCTTGCACCAAACGCTTAAAAAAGAATTTCTGAAGTGATAACTATATTAATAAAAAATATAATAATGAAATTCAATAAATGCAAGAATTATATATTTAAAATAAGAAAAATATGTAAACTTAATTATAATCATATGTAAATTTAAACCCTAATCAGTTCGCTAGCATTATTTAACTTCTTTTTTTTTCCTTTATGAGTATTTTTATTTACTTTCTCTTCGCTACTTAATTCATTTTTTTTTTTTTATTTAAGTTTGTGAAACATATTTTGCTCATTTAGTGTTGAAGACAAAAAGGTTTCAGGATATTTTTTGAGTTCATTCAGTGTTGAAGACAAAAACGTTTCTTTTATTGAGTTCTATGGAAAAATTAGTGTAATAGTTTTATTATTATTACATATATGTAAACTTTAGATATTATTTTATTTAGTTATTTTTATTAAACGTCAACAAATTATTTTTTTGTTAACTTAACAAAAGTTTAGTCTTTATTTGACCCTAGAGCGACAAACTCTTGATGTAAAACTAACTTACGTCAATATTTGTAAATGAATTTAGATTACGTGTCAAACTAACGTTTGGTTAAATATTCAAAAAAAATTTTAATGCCAAACGACAATCAATGCCGGATCGAGCAGGCGCATGGCCCAAATCACGTTAAGTTTGAGGGGCTATTAAATGAAAACCTAAAAAAAAGGGAGGGGTGAAGAATACTAATGTACGAGGAAATAATTGTGTTTTTTATTAAATATATATACTCAATAATGTAACTATATTCTTTTAAAATTATAAAAGTTAAAGAATGAATTTAATTTAATTTTATTAATTGTCAATCTTCAGAGGCAATAATAATGTTCTACATGTTTCTAAGTTTTTCTTAGCAAAATCTTGTAAAGTAGTTTGCAAATCCAAGTGTCTTGCATGTTGACTTTCAATTGACACGATCGCTAAACTGTTTAACCCTGAATTATTGTTAATCTTAGATAATTTTTTATAATTTTCAATCAAGAAAATAATTATTCTCCATATCTTCTTTTCATAATCTATAAGATGATCTCTTGTCTGAATTTTTGCTGGTTCATCCTTAAATAAATATTGTTTTATTTATTGACTAGTTAACTTGGGCCTAGTAGGATCATATGCATTATTCGGTTCTTCATAATAACATATTTCTTTACTCTCAGTCGTATTGGGTTGAGTTGTTTTTTACTGTAATATTCAGTTCAAGTCTCTCTAATTGGGTCTCTTGTTCATTATTATTCGCAGTATTTTCTTTTACATCTTTGTCATTAAGTTTAATTTCATCTTTATCTTATTTTTCTTTTTAATTTTTTTTTTCATCTTTGTCGTTGTTTTTATTTTGATGGTTCTCTTTTTCATCTTTTTTATTATTTTCTTTTTCATCTTTTTCATTATTTTCTTCAGGATCTTTATCATTATTTTCTAAATCTTTTTAATTATTTTATTCTGGACTTTTTTACCTGGTTCTTTGGCAACATTGCCTACTTTTAAGTATTTATTTAAAGCAACTTTAAGTTTTTCACTTTCAACGTTTTTTTTGTTGCAGTTAAATTCTTTTTTTACCCACTTTCGTATTTTCTTTCTATATCTCTATCTCGTTTTGTTGGTTTCCACATCTTGTTAATAAAATAAAAGATACCTTAGGGCTGTCCATTAATTACGTCAACAATTTTTTGGACTACTTTTACAAAAAAATGTCTTCAAAATTAAAATTCACTTGACTGATTTGTTTTAAATATCCGACAAACTGATCACCAGAAAAAAATGACGTAAAAAAACTTTAAATCAATGGTGCACATGCATTTTTTGAGGAATAATTTTGAAAATGAGTCAAAACGTAGAAAATAAAACGTCTTCTTAAAAAATGCAAAATATGGCGATGTTTCATTTTTTTTCAAAAATAAATGCAAATGTTCCAATTAAGGCGCTGTTCCAATTATTGCAACTTTGCTCTACATTTCCTGCATGTTCTACCTATTTAATCAGTTGAAGTGTATATACACTCCCTGCATGTTCTAGCTTTTGAAGTCAGTCTATGTGTGCACACTTTTTAACTTTTATAATATATAAAATTGATAAACAATTTTATATATTTATATAAACAATAACATATGATTGTTGTTAATAAAACTTTTTATATATTTTTATCATAGGCAATACGCATAAAACTAGAACTAAATACGGTAAAATAAAACATAAAAGTACAACCAAAAACATATTTGCTCATAAGGAATCAATCCCATCCCGCAGGGTGACAAGGCAAATTAGTTACCTCAGTACCACACAATATATATCTAGTGTGAAGCAAATTATAATTATATAGGGTAGATTAGGGTAATTTGAGCACCTTAGTAATATGAGCATACTTGAAGTTTTCTATCTTGCATTCGCTGAAATTCCAAAAGCTTTGCATTTTTTCAATCACTTTTATAAACTGATTACATAAATCAGCCTGTTTACTTTATTGCGGAAACAAGTTATTAGTGGGTACTTTATATTTAAAAGGCAGTCCGAAAATTTGCTTTTTTAAAACATTTTTGATACAGTTAAAATGGTCTATGGAGTTGAATATTGTTGTTAAAGTCGTTTTTTTTGCATTTTTTTATTAAAAATTTATTAGTTACACATGTGTTGAATTATCAAGTAAGATCTATAAGATTTGAACATTTTATGCTCGTGGTATTAAAACATACTATTTCCAGGTAATTTGAGCATGCTCATATAACCCGGTGTTTTTGATCATTTGTCGCCTTTACGTCAGATTCCTGACACGCGCTTGGTTATATTATTAAAAAAATCGATGGGTTTTTTATTTTCAAAATTATTTGGTGATATATATATATATATATATATATATATATATATATATATATATATATATATATATATATATATATATATATATATATATATATATATATATATATATATATATATATATATATATATATATATATATATATATATATATATATAACTGCACCGAGTAACTTGTCTTTAATTTAAATTTTATTTAAATTATCTTATCAACTTATTTTTAGTTTTTAGGTGTAATTAATTTTATTTTTTTTTACTTTTTTTATACGATTTTCTTTTGATTATAGATTACTAACTGATCTTAACATACTTGCAAAATTTGTATTTATTTTTTATATGGTACAAAGTAATTTTATATTTACATTTTAATGATTGTACACGCTTGCTGACAAAAGCACGTCGGGGCGTAGTGATAAGGCAAATATTGTCTTCTTTTAATCCAAGTCATGTAGATTTTATTTATATAAAACGGCATAGTATTCTTTTTTTTAATGACGAAATAAATAAATAAATTTTTATTTAATCCATCAGCGCCATGAATCTGTCAAACAGTTTCAAGCCACAAATGTGTTTTGTTGAGTTCTTGTTACCACAAAGCATCACTACCTGTAAATGGACC